CGAAGGAAGTGAAGAAGGTTGAGATATGGGTGACTTCCCCCACGGGGGGGGCACACAGCTCACACACACCATCAGGCTGCCTGGAGTTTATTTTCTACTTGGTGCAAGGCACGGGGTTATTAAGTGTCAGGAAGGCTCTCGTGTGGCTTGGACAGTAAAGAGCGTGGTTCTCTTAACTTCCTTTTTGGCGTTTTGCTGTTTTGATATTAAAGAACCCAACTTTTCTGTTGGCTGTAGCCTGCTTCGTCTCAGGGAGCGGAGGGAAGGGGAGGGGGAGGGCTCTTATGAGCCTAGCGCCTTGGAAGGAAGCCTGGCAGCTGGTGGCAGCCACTCAGGACGGGGGCCTGGAGTTGGTTTTGCCAGGCTGGCTGCCAGGCTGCTGCTTCCCCACGGCTTCCCGAACCAGGTCACAGGTGATCGCGCTGGTGGAAGTCTGGGGCGATTCCGAGCTGGGGGAGAGCGTGTGGTCAGAGGTTGCTTCCACCTGCCCACCCCGTCACTGCCCCCCAGGAAAGTGGACTCACTGCTCTGGGGACTCCAACACTGTGGCCATGAATGGGAGAGTGGACTTCCCGAAAAAGAAGCTAGCCCACCAGTGTCCCAGGTCGGCTTTGGGGAGACCTGAAGGAAGCAAAGTGAAGTCAGGATGCTGCAGCTGGCTCCTTCCAGAGGGCCCCTGGGGACAGACGGGAACAGGACCTCCACTCACCCGGGTGGTGGGGGATGGCTTCCCCAGGGTACTCTGCACTTCCGCAGGAGCTGTTACTGGAAGTGGAGCCCAGGCGGCCTGGAGAGAAGAGGCCCAGTCAGCTCTGCAGGGTACTGAGCCCCTTGCCCACCAGGCCAAATGCTGGCTTTGCTGGCAGCACAGGGCCAGTGCCAGGGATCTTTAGCAGCTCACTCCCCACCCAGATAAGGGTTCTCAAGACACTGGAGCTGCCGCCACGGGCTGGGTGAGACCTGGGGAGGGGGCGAGCAAGGGGCTTACTTACGCCGGTAGTAGTCGTGGGTGGCCACGAGCGAGCCGCTGGAGGGGATGGCTGCCATGATCTTGCTTGGGCTGGTGGAAACCTGCAAAGGCGCCGTCGGGGAACCCCTTTGGTCACCGCTGCCCGTCGAGAGGGACGCTCCCCACCCGGGCTGAGCCGCCCGGTCGGGACGCCAGGCTCAGCCCCGCGGGCTCCGGGGCGGGGCACAAAGGCTGGGTTTGTTTACCCAACCGAGGCGGGGCTCGGGAACTCCCGGCCCGCCCTCTCCGCGCGGGCGGTTCCAACC